TAAATAAAAGATCATTTATCTATATACAAGTTAGCATTCGATATCAATTTTTATCAAATCAGAATAAAATTAAACATCGATATTATGATCTAATCGGTTGCCAAACGCTGATATAGGACGAGTGCGTAAGCTAACATGAAGAAGCATGCTAAAATGACTAATCGTAATATATATCGTAAAATAATATATCTTATATTAATCATAGAAGATAGATTACTTCAGAGATAATTACCTATTAACTTTTGACAATTATTATAGACATAAGAATTTATAACACTTTATGCATGAAAATATATTACTGTAGTGTAATCTTCTAAGAACGTATTCAATATTAATATCGTAATCGGATTAAAAATTATGAGTTGATATTGCATTGATATAAAAAAATGTTATATTTCAGTAAAATTGACATGATATTTAAAAAAGAGAAAATTAAAATAATAATGTATACTATAAGGCATAAGCTAGTTCAGTCTTTATTAAATAATAAATTGCTGATATTGAAGTATTACTAAACACACTTTTCAAGTGTGTTAAACTTCCATAATTTTCATTACCAATATTTTTGTATTAATTAAAATTACTAGTTCTAATTAGACTAGTAGAGAAAAGAAAGGATAACATTATCTTTCATGCTTTATGCGTTTTGTTTTTATTAGATAATTACTGCAATTTTTCCCGTTAATAACAAGGTTACAGTAGAGTTCTTCCAGAAACTACTGCAGAAGTTGATTCTGCAGTTCCAGTAAATGTATTTATTTTTAAAGGCTATTGGTCAAATGTACCAGATATTATTAAACTGTGGACAAAGGCATCTGTAAAATGAATTTAAATAAAAAAATAAAATTATCATTTTTTCTATTGCGTTAGCAAATATCTTCTATCATTGAAATGTTTAAAACAATCATCAGGATACTATTAAACCTCATTAATAGTTATTACAGAAGCCGTTGAATTATAATAAGTTATATTATTTATAATTTTTTTTTATACATTTTTTTTCTTTTTTTTTATTATTATCTCTTTTATTTACAACTGTCTAGTAAAGGACATTCAATAAATTTGATGAATTTACAATAGTCGGCCGAAAAATTGTATACTGCATTGGCATGTTGGAAAAAACAACTCAGTAGTTGTTTTTTCCATTCGATATAAAATTTTGAGGAAAGATGAACAGAAATATGAATACACAATAAATATTTAAAATTTTGAATAAGTCGTAAATCATTCAATTTCAAACATCTTTACTGCCTTTACTACTTTCTTTGGCGCCTTTTCAAATCTCAAATATTTCTGATCTTGGAGGCTTCGCTCCAACTGTATTGCAATTTCATGAGATCATGTTAAGGATTTTATGAACCTAACCAGAACCTGTTGCTAGATATAGATAACATAACTAGTCTTCAAGAATTTGCAAAATAACTTGACTATCAAAATACAGACGTATATATACCATTACACCAGAAGCGATAGCGTTAAATTATATGTATATATATATATATATATATATATATATATATGTAAAATCTTGAATTTGTTGCTTGATATATATGAATTAAGTAATAATGACATCAACTTTTATTGATGTAACGCCCGATCATTAGAACTTGAACTCCATCATACATGTGTGGTTTGCATGCGTGTAATTTGGTTGGAATAGTGTGTAATTAAATAGTTGGAATAGGGTCGGTTAAAATATAAATTCGTTTATTTTTTATTTTATTTATTATAAATAGTTCAAAAATTCATAAATGATGTATTTGATCAAATTAATTTTTCACGTTATTCGCTGATTCGCATCATGTATTGTCTCCATTAATCGATTTTGCAGAAACTTTCTGATGCTGGACTTGGCAGCACATCTTTTCCATACAAATTAGTAAATCTTGCTCTATCTTAAATTTAGTAAATGAGTAACTTTTTTTTGTTATATCCTGATCCTTTTAGTAAGGAAGGCACAAGTTCGGTATCTTCTTCATATTTAAAAAAGTACTAACAAAAATTACTATGAAATTAATTAAAGACAATTAAATCTTTTATCGAAAAAAAATTACTTTTCAACTTATTTATGTGAATGTATGCATATACATGAATATTCATGGGCATATTGTATAGTACTATTAGATAAACTGAAATTGAACATGATCGTTTCATTTGAAGAAGACACGAATTTACAATTAATATAAATATCACGATGTCTGCAAGGTGTTCGTAGAAATTGATGGTCTTTCAACCTTGAATGTAATTATTTTTAAATAAACATGCGTTCGTATTTTTTTGTGAAAAAAATATAAAATAATATAATTGCCTTTATTCAAATTTTGTAAGTTCTTGACAAATGTATGTAATTGCTGAAATTATGTAATTTTCCTGCAACTTTGTTGAAATTGTTGTTGTTAAATTAAGTTTTCAGTACAAAAATGTAAAACACACCTTGTGAACAATTTTTTTTGTACCTCGACAAGGGTTGAAATAACAGTCACAAACAAGGAAGTTAGTTCTTCTAAATTTATTGCATTATTTTATAATTTTTTTTAACCACGATTAGAACAACGTATTCTAGGAATTGTGTTTGCTATTGTACATACTAACCTAGTAGTTTTCTCGAGAGGTTAGCCACTCTTTTTTTCTCATGTGTAGCCTATATATATATATATATATATATATATATATATATATATATATATATTAGTTATGAATATCCAATAGTTTGGCTTGTATATGTTGCAGTATTGCCCATAAAGGCGATTTTCAGTTAAAATTACGTTAGAGCTTTTAGCTCAAGTGGAAATTTGATAATACACTGTTTGATATAGAGCTGGTCGAGGTTGGGATCGATGACTAGTTTATGCTAGTTTAACCACTTTTATGTATGTTGCTCATTAATGTATTTCTGCAATATACTATTTTTCAATTGATGTTATCCACTAATAGTGCTGAATCCACTAATGCTAAAAGGTTATGACAAACGGCACTAATCATTGTAAAAATCAGAAAAACGATTAAAATTTATCAACTTAAAATACAAAACAATGGTAAACATTAAAGTAGAAGTCGCCAGTTAAGATTATAGCATCCTTTATTACGTATTAGGTCTTTTGAATTTAGCGCGGTTGAGTTAGCACACTTATTGAGCGGAAATATTGAAGGCCGTCTTTAAAACTAAATGCTATCTTGCTAACATCCAATGCGAAAACGAAAGTATTTGTATATAAAACGCGTGTACATTACGAACTAGACTTAGAGGTCAAGTACTAAGTAATAATTACATTGAATGTAATCATGTGTGTTGCCGGACGTAATAAATGTACTCAAAAGGTTTGCAAAACACAAAAAATGTGATGACTTTGCCACAAAAAAGTGTCAAGGTGCTGTTTTGTATGAAAAGTGACCAGTATGAGAATTGTTGGACAACGAAATAATAATTGGCGCAATTTTGCAGTTTTTTTAAATACACATCATTGGACATAAATTTATGATAGGTGAAACAAAAAGTGTAAATTTTTGTTCTAAGTTGATAACTGATAATTTAAATATCGCGCCATTTTATTCCAATAATTTTCATTGGTTTGTTTGGCAACTATTGCAGTATTAAACATTACCTATAAGATTGAAAATATATCAATTTTATTTTTAACTACCGGTAGGGTAAATTATAGTAATGGGCCAAATGTAAAATGAAAATTTTCGCATATCTTCACGTTTCAGAAGTTTCTGAACATTTCAGCATACCTCAGAAAAAATGGATGTGTGTGTTTGTGTGGAGACAAATCAACCGATTTGAATGATCCAAAAATAGTCAATTCGTAATGACGGAAGGAATCGTGATTAGTTTTTGTCAAAGACAGGTCCAGCAATTTCGGAAATATAGAGTTAAACGTGCAAAAAATGGCAATTTTTGAGTGGAGTGAGCATTCGATTTGAATGATTTAAAAAACTTGCTGCTTGTGTTGACGAAACAATCGCTTTTGAGAAAAGAAATTTTATTATTTTTAAATATTTTTTTTTAATTTTTAAATAATTTTGATGTAATTTTTTTTTGAATATCAAAAAATAAATCGAATTTTAATTGTAATTCTGGCTAAAGTTCTAAAGCTCACTTTTATACTTTAAATAAATAATTTTAACTTTGCAATTCAGTTTATATAATTCTTATAAATATTGGACTATATCCTTCATTTTAATTTGATTGATTGAGTTTTATTTATTTACTTTTTATAAAATAACAATAATGAAAGTTATATTAATTATAATAATCTATTTGAAAACATATTATATTCTTCAAATATTTTATTAAGGCACGGGAAGTTTTAGCAATTTGCCTTAAGGCACGATGCCATACACCACTATTTGAATGGTTTATTGAATGGCACATAAGCTCCATGAACATTAGGGTCTTACTTGTTATAGAAGACAATAATGAATATTTTAAAAATCCATACTTGGAAAGTTATATATATATATATATATATATATATATATATATATATGTTCTTCCATTTAGTAATTATTACAATTTATTATTAGTTGATTTGTGATGTGTTAGAAGCATGCATTTCGCAACTAAAACACTAAAAACCACTATAGAGAAAATAATTATGAATGATTTTTAATACACTTGAATGTATAACTATCTTATTAAATAATGAAAACTTCATAAAAATGAGTAATTGCAATGATATTAAAACGAGTTGCTATAAGTTTCTTCCAGGTTATATTAAAATTACTTTTGTGTAACTAGTTGTTACGCAAACGTGACCGATTATATATTAACATTTTACGTTTATAAATGCTAGAAGGCATTAAATGCGCACTTCATAGATCCTTTGCTAATCAAACCGTGTTCTGCTACAGCAATCACTTAATCAACAATTTTTAAATTCGTAACTACTTTCGGTGCAGCGTGCAGTCATGATGCAAATGACCTTAGGCATTTTATTAAATGATATTGTTTCACAGCAATAAAACAAATAAATTAACTATTTTCGATTTGCTTCCAGGTATCATCAACATTTCATCACAAACAAGCTCAGCTTCACCAGACAGCCGACCTGCATACGAGTGCGCGGAGTAGTCCTACAAACCGATTAGGAAGAGGTCCCAGCGGCGGAAATGTCGGAAGACCAGGCCGGGGGCGCGAAGTATTCTTCCTCAATCTAGAGGATGGATATTTCGGCTGCCAAGTTAATAATTCAGCAGACTACTTGCAATTGTACGAGCTGTCTAAATTGTGTGACGGTGTCACGGATTGCTACCTCGGCTCGGACGAGCGCGCTGACGTCTTGAAATGCGGAGGTGAGCACAAATCCATGCCATGTTAGTTGTAATTGCTTGGGACAAGTCACGGGTTACTTGCTTTATGTTTATTAGATTGTGACCAAACACTCTTACTTAAAAAGTGAACATCCACTATTAAAGTCATTAATAGTATTGTGACCATATTTTTTAAAGTCAAATCCAGGACGACAATTTTTAGTTATGCTAATCCGGGACGTCGGGTGGGGGGGGGAGTATGTTAGTCGTTTACATAACAAATGCTATTCAAGGACGCAATAAAATTTTTTTTTTTAAATGAATGTTTTTTATCATAATTGCGGACTTTTAATAAGAAGTTTTAGTAAGCTTTATACTTCTACTATTATATGCATTACTTTTTTTATCGATGATATTATATCTTATATTTTTCGATCTATATGTTCTATTCAATTTTCTTCATAATTAATTTGATAAAATTAACATATGTTATTTTGTGTTCTTAATTTTTGTTAATTTAACTATTAATTTTCAAAAAACCGGGACATCCGGGATAAAAAATCAAAATCCGGGACAAATATTGCTTTAAGAAAAACCCGGGACACAAGGTGGAAATCCGGGACTGCCTCGGGCAATCCGGGACGTATTGTCACTTTATTAATAGTCAACTCTGTTGCTTCATGAACATTTCAAATCTGATGTTTACGAAGCAAGCGCCAATTTTAAACTAAACTATATGTGTCATATGAATAAAAAGAGGAACTTTATGTTTTTATATATTTTTGTCTATAGATATTCATTACAAAATTAGTAAGAAGTTGGCAGCATTCATTCAGTTAAAGCAATTATTTTAGTTTAATAGTTTTAGTTGTATTTATAGAAGAATTTATTTGAATTTTTCCTTATTTTTTGTAATCGGCAGCGCTTAAAATTAATTGGTTTCATTAATGTTATGATAAGGTATTATTATTATCCTTTGCACATTTTGTTTATATAATTTTTATGCAGTTAATAATAATACATTTTGTTGCGGCAAGCATAGTTCTCTTAGTAGTGTGTACGATTCACACGGCAGGGATATTTGGATCGAATCCTGTCAATGATTTAGAATTTATGAAAAAAATATGTGCAGTTAAATTGAAATTAACCAAAATTGTATTTGTTAAGTAGAAATTGAATAAAAAATTAAGAAAAATAGAGATTACAGAATTGTATTAAGAGTAAGAAGGAAAAACATTAGAATTTGTCGATATTAAAAGAAGAATGAAGAAAAAAATAGATTGAATATAAAAGTTGAATAGAATTAGAAATTTGATATAAAAAGTATAAATTGAAAAAAATAAGAAAAAGAAAAATTAAGTTATATATAGATATATATATATATATATATATATATATATATAGAATTTTATGATATGAGTGGAACGAATATTAATTGTTTAATATGAACAAAACAGCACTCAGATTTGTTTAACACAACTTTATTTTATGATTACAGACGTTTCGAGACCATGGTGTGTCTCATCTTCAGTGTAATTTCAAAAACAGTTACTTATATACTACACATTCTTTAATACTTTATTTAAATTTCATTTAATTTTTGATATACAAAAAACACCAACTATTCCTTGCAATGCTTGACACAGTACTAAAGAAACATATAACACTTACAGAAATATTCTAAACAAATTTGAAGTACTTTCTAGATGGAGACAGAGAGGGTATCATTATAATGATACCTGTTTTTGAAATTACACTGAACTGTTTTTGAAATTACACTGAAGATGAGACACACCATGGTCTCGAAACGTCTGTAATCATAAAATAAAGTTGTGTTAAACAAATCTGAGTGCTGTTTTGTTCATATTAAACATATATATATATATATATATATATATAGATTGAATATGATATAAAATTAGGATATATATAAAGATTGAATATGATATAAAAATTTGTATAGAATATAAATAAATAAAAATGTTGTAGGTAGCTAAATGCTTAGAGTAAGCTGGACCAAATTAAATTAAAAAACTACATTTTGTCCCAAAGTCAGTCCCAAAGCAGTATTTTCCTTCCTTCTAGGATTATTTAAATTTTGAGAGTTAAAGATGTATAAAAATATGCATCCTTGAACAGTTTGAAAGCATCATTTCTACGATCTTTTTTTGGCTATGTATCAGTATTGCTTAATCATTTTTTACAGGGCACTTTTTTAAAATCTCGCTGAAGAAAATTATGTTTCTGCATACACTGGTTTTGAGAAACTGGTAAATGGAACTATAAACTATATGAAAAACTATATATATATATATATATATATATATATATATATATATATATATATATATATATTGTTTGTGAGATTCTTAAAACAAACAAAAATATAAAAATTAAAATTTCTATGAAAGAACCATAGTAAAGTTTCTACGACTATAAAATGTATGACATGGTGCATATAAAAATATAAAAGACATTAAAAGATGTATGTTAGTAAAAGACCGGGACAGTTCACACTTTTATAAAATTACTCAGTTCATATTGTTTATATCTTTGTTACACTTGGCACAAAATTCTAGGCCGAACTATATAAAATAAACAATTCAGTTCCATATTTGAGAAATATATTAGGTTATCAAATACCTCCCTTCCTCCTTTTTGTATTATAAACCAAGAGCAAAAAAGGGGAAGGGAGATATTTGACAACCTAATATAAACTTTATAATTATACAAATTTAAATTATAATAGTCGCATTGAATCTATAATAATATAAATTTAATTAGGCGCACTCAAGATGTCGTTTAACATATAATAGCAAAACGAATCAATTTTCCTGCTACTAAATTAAACTATCAAAGCAACAATAAATCATAACTATCATCATGAGTCATTGGTTACTGTAATCTATTATAGTTTTTATTGTTATTGTTACAAATTTTGTTAAATACGTTTGCTTTTTACATACAAAGAAAATAATATTATTCTGATAATAGCAAAAAAATTTAAAATATTTTACTTAATAATCTGTTATTGTAAAGAAATAGGACCATATTCTCATTGATATGTCTAGTCAAAAATCCAATGAAATAGATGATTATATTATACAATAATGTAGAGACTAATATTTAGTTGTGTACTTACATAAATTTTTTTTCAACTCTATTAAATGTGACTTTTCTTCTTAAATTGCGATTTGTTTGGCCTTGTACGCAACGCACATTTTTAACGACTGCCAGTAATTACTTTGTTTTATAATAATTACTTTTGCTTGATAGTTTTACAAAGTTTTTCGCTTGAAAATCATCATTTGCATGACTGTGATACATTTTGTAATATCGAAGTGAAAAAATTCCATTGTAAAGAACATATACTATAAATATTTTCTGTCGAAATTAAAATTAAGTAATTAGATCTGTTAATTAGGACTTTTTGAAGTTTTATTCAACATTTTCAACTGAATGTTCAATAATTTAACGACGCTAAATACTTTTTTTTCATTACTGACTGTTGCTTCAATTTTATTTATTCTTTTTAGTATTTGTATAATTTTTTTTTTAATCTCATAGTTAGTATTATTTAGAAGAAGTCCCGAATATAATTTTAATAATAGACGCACTGATTCTAAATATTATCTAATATTTTATTTAGCACTAGCACTGATACTTCATGCCAATCTATTTGTGTTATAATTAATAGATAAATAAGTTCTAAAAATTAAATTCAATTTAAAGATGCAATAACTACATATGCTATATAAATACATTGAAAAGCTATTAATTCTGCAAAACATGGCAAATATCGTTTTTTGAAAATGAGTTAGACATGTTTCGTGAAACAATTCTGATGCTCGGCCAGTTGCATCTTTTTCGAGGTAATTTTTGTCCACAAACGAACAAATGCACCACATTAATATTAATTTTTTTTGCATAGATTTATTGCTGATCAAAATAATATAATTTTTAGGACAATATGCTGGGTGTAAATGCATTTAAAGAATTTATGTCCTGTGAGATATCTCATTTTTTATTTAAGATTTTACTTAAGATCGTACGTCCATTTTTTTTAAATCTTTGAGTAGGAGATTCCTCACTTAATTCTTTCAAATATTTGTTTAGGTGATCTGGTAATTTCCGTGGTATTTTTTGCTATTTTCTTTTATTACTATATTTATTTTCAAGTCTTTAACAATAATATTAATGAATTGAAATTTTCAACTATAAAATAATTTACTGTAAATATTTGTAAAATAGTTAAATGTGATTAACTTTTTACATTTTTGTCAAATAAAATTATCATTATTCTTCTTCTATTTTATATAAAAAGGGATAAAAATTCATTGTGTTGACAAGCTAGTTGTATAAATGTTAGTGTTAATTTTTGTGTGTGCGCGCATCTTTAGATGTACGTTACCAAAGTCAGTATCCACTGATGATGACATTGAATTAAATGTCGAAAAGTTTGGAATTAAATTTTAATTTATATAATTTTGTTTATTTTTCTTTGATGTATCGAACTTACTCGTGTTACTCGTGTATATATATATATATATATATATATATATATATATATATATAAATGATCATCATTAACAAGTATGAATAAATTTCCGCACAAACTTATGTATGATCACATTTTATAGCGCAAAAAATTTGTTGTTTTATTATCAGCAAACCTGATCTTTTTATTATTTGCCTTTGCCCCTGTGGGAATAAAATTCAATTACAAAATTTATATTGCTATTAATAATTAATATTAATATATTTTTTACAAATTTTCAGGTGATTGTACAAAAGACGACGGATCCACATGTCAAAACGGTGCCTGTTTGGACTCACAGTGTCACTGTAATGATGGATATGGTGGATGCAATTGTCAAGAAGCTGGTAAGTTAACCGAATCATTATTGATTTATATATATATATATATATATATATATATATATATAATGTTACAAGTTGTTGCTAGATGTATATTCTCATGTACGTATAAATTGTTGATGATTTATAACTTTACTATAAATCAATTCGCTTCATCTGGTTTTCAACAAAACAATGACTGCTCTCTGAGTATTGATCAATGTTCTTTCCAATCGTAAAACTCCTATCTGTTGATTCGAGGTTTATCAAAGTTATATTATATATCTCATAATCTAAAGTTTTCATTTAGTGATAAATTCAGTGAACTTTGGTATTTTACATTAACATTTTTTATTAAGCTATATATATATATATATATATATATATATAATATATATAAATTATTCGATGAATTTTTTTCACTTTTATAAACATTTTATGTTTACTATCATAAGTCTGTACATGAAAATTTCATCTGAAAGACTTATTGCATAGCCAGTTTAATTAAAATTATACTGATGTCGTAATTGAAATATCTAATGTTTTAATTAACACGCTTTTTGTATATTATATTTTATTATCATCTAAAAATTAATGATTCAATTAAATTTAAAGTATGATTTTATTCATACTGTATTATAATTTAGCGGATGCATCTTTGATTCAATTTGAAGTTTATTTAAATAGTGCATAGTTTTACTAAACAATTCAGCATTGTATTGTTTATTTATTCAAGAAAATATTTTGATTAAACGTGGGATATTATTATAAAATAATTCAAAATATAATATGCATATAATTGAAAAAAAAGCGACACAATTTGCTATATAAATTGCAAATTTTTTAGCCTCTTTAAAAATGTGCATATTCATTGATTCCCACGATCATAAAGGGTATAGATATTTATTTTGTTTGTTCATAAAAAGTTTAACTATAGCGAAAATTTAACTATATCATTTGTGAAGCTTTATATATACTTGAATATTACATGACACGATAAATTATTAATATATATTATATTTTGAGACAATTTAGGCTTATGCTAGAGTGTGAACAGAACACTGTCAGTAAAGCAGAAATTTCTTTAAACTCAATGTTAGGCTTTTCAAAATATTAAATATTCAATAAAAAAAATTAGATCAAAAATGACTGCAATAAATTAAAATATATAATCACTATCAAAAAGTACAATCACTGGGTAGTGTGCAAAAATAAAAAAATATTAAACGGATTGGGCAACTTTTGGCTTGTCTTCCAAAAAGTGCCATAGTTGAATAGTATCATAACAAATTATAGAACTCTTAGTTCTGATTGTTGTACAAAAACAAGTAAAAAAAATATAATAATATACGCGCAATAATTTATAGTAATGTTTCAATTATTTATTATATAATATAATACATACTTCCTAGACAACTATAATTTACCAATGATCATTTTCATTTTCAGACGAAAACGAATGTAAATATCGACCTTGTGATGTTTTCGCCCATTGTACGAACACACTCGGAAGTTTTCAATGTACCTGTTTCCCTGGATACAGCGGTGATGGACTCCATTGCCAAGGTAGGTGTTGCTTATTAGCTTATTATTAGATATTAAATGAATGAGGATTTTTTTAGATATTAAATGAATGACTAGTCGCATACAGTTAATCAATCCTAACAAGAAAGTTGATAAATAAAAAAAAGTTATAATTTTTACAAAGCTTGTAATCACCTTAATCATAGATCTATGAAAATCATTTATATGAAAAATTAGTAAAAATTTAAACTTACAATGATCAAAAGTACGATATATGAGCATTGGCCAGTTACGAACATGTCTAGAAAACGCTTTTATAATGTTTTTCACAATTTCGAAAATAAACAATGAATTTGTGAACATAGATCTGCCTGCGAATCGTTCGTGTTGCGTAATATTTAAATAATTGCTTAGAAAAATGCTACCTGTATTTTACGAGAAAAACGCCCAGACAATAGAAATTGCAGATGCGGGAGCAGAATGCTTTTTAACATAACAGTAAGCTATTCTTTAGTCGCGGAAGTTCATTTACTGCATCATGTTACTATAACATGTAATAAGGAAAAAATAATATTACTTTTTGCAAATAGAATCACTTAGTGTGACGACACCGGTGATAAATAGTGGTGATGAGGTAAAATATTTATAAAATCTTTTTTTATATGACACTAATAGTAAGGCGTGAATAATCTATATTTTTTCAGTTGTACCAAATTCAAATTTTGTAGAATTAAAGACGCCTTGTTATCGGCAGTAATAACAGTATTTTACGGCTTGTTCAATGTCATTGTATAGTACAACACAATGCTTTACTTTAGGAAAGGAATTTTATCAACGCTTGCCGAGCTTGTAAAGGATATCTCTAGCTTACAAGATTACTAAATGCATCCAAATTTCTTGGCAAAATCAATAGATCTGTCTGGATTAAATATAATTTGTTTAATTAGCACTTGTAACTAAAAAACTTGTTTTTATTCGATGATATTGAAGCGATTTAATTCCAAAGTAAGTTGAGAAACTCTATATTTAACAAAACTTTTTCAGATCAACATTAACAGGATCAACAGCGTTCATAGTTTATATTCACGCTTCGTATTAGACTACGAAGTTCTAGCTATAAAAAATATGACTTTTTCATTTCATTTTCATGCTTTTACGCATTTTACTAGCAGCGCAATTTTAGTTGTCTCTCTAGGCCAACTCATCGACCATGAACTCCGACAGAGCCACCACTATTTCTAATAATAATATATGTCTTCTACACAAATTGCTTTACTGACTTTGACGTTACTTCATTCCAGTACCATATATAATCAAACGTAGTAAATTTGTCTCCCGTTATAGCTGAATTGAGCGAAACTAAAACTGAATTCATCCTGCAGAATTACAATATTCTTCCTACTCGTAATAATATTACTGGTTATGCAAGTGTGAGTGGAAATTTATTACTTCGATTTTGTTCTATTTCCTTATTTGCTATAGTTTCACCGATTGAAATCAATTTCTATTAGCTTTTTGAGGTCACATTAATGATAAATTGCGTGTTATTCCTAGGTATTTTGTGAAACATTGTAGACTAGGTGAAGTGGAATTTTGCCTTCATACAAGTTGCATGAACTTCTCGATACGTGTAAAATAATCAATCATAAGTGAGTTTATCTGTCTAGATAAAATCTATCTATTTAGATAAAAATTTTAACTGTTCGCTATTCAACTAATCAATGTGATTTCTAATTGATATCTTTCAATAAAGCCTGAAATTGTGTTAATTATAATGTCATAAAAGCTAGGCCTAATATTCCAATCTTCATTAAATATTTATAATTCAACTGAATTCATATGATTTTTTCCTTTAGACATGAACTCTAAAGCCATGTTGAATTTACTTTAAAACGCCAAACAATTTTTAAAGCATTGAATCAAGAAGAGATGGCTCGGCCAATCTTTGACACAAACTAGTCAGCACTATATTCAAATGATATCATTGGAACGTTTTAAAAATGCAACTAATGGTGCATGGCATCTTGCCTTAAGGCAAATTGCTGGAACTTCCCGTACCGAAAATTAGATTATTAAAAAAAAACTTTGCAAAACTGTGAAAAAATTAGATTTTTGAGAATTTTTGAAATTTTAGAAAAAAAAAGACTTTGAACGCGGCGTGAGCGCCGCGTAGTCGTCTAACGCATAAACATTGGTACGGAACCCATATAAATATACATATGTCTAATGTTTATTTTTGACCGCCAAATGGCATTATTTTTCACTTTTTTATTGGATATCCGCAGACTCTGAACCTGCCTTTACATAAATTTTATCAGTTGTATATAGATCTCTCTGTAAACTAAGTGGTGGCAATATGATTTAGATCAGATGCCATTATAATAAATAAATAAAAAAAAATCGGACGCTCCGTTATCTCAAAAACTGAAATACCATTTTTGACACTTTTTGCCTCGTATCTTCGAAACGCCTAGACCTGGATTTGCCAAAAACTCATCAGCTCGTCACGCAAAACTAATCAGTTCGAGTTATATCGAATGGCTTCTAATTTTTTGAAATGGGTTCAACCGACAAAAGATCAATAATCGCCTCAATATACACATACCACATACTTTTTTCTATTATGGTATTAAACGATTCAGAATGACTTGAAACGACCAGTAAACATAAAATTACAAAGACAGATTTTCTGGCAAAAAGCGAAAACTTAATAAAAATCAAATGCATTAATAAGTTATGACAGTCTGTTCGTGAGTATCATAAATTTTAGCAATAACTGACCCTATTCATTGATTATTGTTTGCTCAATTCTTTTCACAAGTAGTAAGATCATATTATCTTAGATCAAATTGTAGTCATTTTTAAAATTTTCTCTTCTGATTTTTTGTCAGTTATAACAATCACATTATATTCTGCAAGTCATATTACTGTCAATCACCATGTGTCTTGTACTTGAGTACATCATATCCGACAATAATGCAAATAACATGATAACATGCATTGTCAATATAATTTGTTTTATTTGCACAGCTTTTATTGTTCGCATATGAAGTACCGTTAAGTAAATTTTAAAATGTTATATAATGTTGTCAATGTAATTATGACAGATGTCGTTCAGTATTCCAAGTACTTGATTACTTAATTACTTTGTATTCGATGTATGAATAATTATTATCTAGTATTTATTTTATATAATTACTTGGAAGTATACCCAGAAAAAACAGTGCATATAGTTCAAATATTTAATACTATTCTGAATGTTGACTTTATTGATGCATGATTAGGTTGACCTAATTATTAACGAAAAATGCTTTTGAAATTTTTTGCATACTGTTTCTATATTATTTAATTTTCTTAGAATCAATTAACATTTTTCAAACAATCTGCCAAAGCTTTCCAAAAAATCAATTTTTCATATGTTTTTAAATGAATTTTTACTGGAAGCTTTGTTCTCTCTAAAATCTTGATATTTTTTGTAAATTAATCTCGGATTTTTTTATTGAATTGCTTTTTTGCATTATTAGGTTGACCTATATTAACGAAAAATGCTTTTGAAAGTTTTTGCTTACTTTTTCTATATTATTTATATTTCTTGAAATCCATTAACATTGATAAAGCAATCTTCCAAAGCTTTTCAAGCTTTACATTTTTCATTTGTTTTCAAATGAATTTTTACTGGAAGCTTTGTCGTATCTAAAATTTTGATATATTTTGTAAATTATTCTGAGCTATTTTGAACTACTGTTCAAAATGGTCTTTGCAGAAATAAAACAAAATAAAAGCTTATAAAATAAAAGAATGTTCCTGGCCAAATGACCCGGCGTGGTCGATAACATTACTATTCAAAATAAACAACAACAAAAATTTTAACACTTTTTTAACATCAATTATATTAGTACAAGAAGTTCAAATCATCACATTTTCAAAAACAATCAAATTATATATGCTTTCCCAATTCAAAGTTTAAAACGAATATTTGACCCGCGTTTAGTATGATTAGTGTTAAATTACAGTTGTTTGATAGCCAATTCAACTCTTTGCTGGAAAATTGATAATTTGCCAAATTTGCGAAGATCAATTCAGGATTTGAAATAAATAATCAATAATCTGCCGCGTTTTAGAAAAAAATGATTTATTATCAATGAAAATGTTTTGCATTATTTACTACTTCAGTAAACAATTCAGCGGAACTTATGCATTCAATTTATTCTTATGACTTCGCATCCATTTATTTCTGTTGTACTATAACAAATAGATTTCCAATCAATTGACTCGAACGAATGTTTATGTAGCTTGGCAATATAGAGCTTTCTGTGGGCATTACAAGAAATCTTCTATTCTTTCTGTTGTGGTTTTGTTGTATATAATAGACAACAAAAAATAGAGAGAAGAAATCTTTGCACAGAAAAGCCCGGCAATCAAAATAGAATCTTCTAGTTTAACCTTCTAAAACATGGAATATGAAGTAATTGGTTTATGATTTAATTCAAACGGCTATTAAGTTTGAAGAGCGATTATAAAGATGTCATCATTACTATTAACAATACCACACGAATACAGAGGTATTATGAACGCATTAATCAACTGAAAATACATACCTTTGCAAATAGCATTCATCCATTCTCATTTGCAAAATATATAGAGAGACACTTTATCTCAACTTTGAATTCTGATGATTAACGTATATTCCATTCAAGTTGACCATTGCTGTTGATGTTGATATAAATCATTCATGTCGTTTAGAATTCTAGATAAAAGTTATGCGTGACGGCAGATGAGCAAATCATTACGCAGTTCCTTCAACTTTACGTTGTCCTCTGGTATGCAAAGGGCCGCATTTTTCTTGAACGGCATTTGCATACTTTTTTATCTCAAGTATCTTTTGAATTTTAGTACCATTGAATATTTTATTGATCATTTTGTTTAAATATTTTACATACTTTTTCATTTGTTTGTAACTTTCTATTACAATTTATATTCATCTTCATTACCTTTTCATCGTTGTTTTAAAACATTAAGAATTATTTCGATGATAATATGGA